TGCTCACAGAGGGAAACATGGTAGTACAGTTTATTTAAAGAAGGTTTAACTGGATGTATAGCTTCACAAACTCACACTTTAAGATCCACCATGGCTCACACCTCTCTCACCGTCAGACAAAGGCCTGATTACTCAGCAAATGGATGCATCAGTGATCACAGCGGCCTTTTACAAACTGGTCTATTATGCTCCCTCAGCGTGGGGTGGAAGTGTGCAGGGGCCTGTGCCTGCAGCGAGGGGCTCCGCTCTGTGTGCACAAGTACAGGACTAACAAGTGCTCCCATGCTGCGCGGCTAACCACAGGGCAGTGCGCACATTAAATGGGCACTAATGCGGGAAATTGGAGGCTATTAGGCCGCGCTTTGTTGCTAAGCCTCTGTGTGGCCGGTGAAAGGGAAGGTCTTCTGGCCCCCACATGAAGCAGGGTCACATGAGCTTCCCGCTGCACACAAAGGTACAAACAATTAAATCTAGGAGTTTTTGACAACAATATTATAAGTGTCAGAAGTTATTTAGCTCATCTCCATTTTTAGCTCATGGACAAAAATAGCATTTTTTTACTGTTTATAAAAAAAAATGGCAAAAGTGGAATCCATTTCCATTTGACCTTTTCTACACAGCCTGTAAAAAAGAAATCACACACAACGTGCACACACACGCGCACCCACGCACTCACACACACACACATGCACACACACACAATGTATTCCTGTCATTATACTGTAGGATAATATACAAAAACAATCAGCTGTATCTATAGAAACTGGATACAATTAAATATCAAATGCATTTCTTGTCGGCACACACGTCTGCTGAGGAACGAGGAGAAAATATAAATATTGATATTCTTCTGCATCCTTTCGTGTTAGACTAAAGTGAAACACGTCTTCTGTTTTGGGAGCAACAGTCATTATGACTGACAGATAATTACAAATTCCTGTAGTCCGTGTGGTCTGCAGTTTACTTTATATTTAATATTTTGAAGTCGTTTATGGGGCCAAGGTGTCATTGAGACAGCAGAGCATTTGTAAATCTATCAGAGATTTGAACGTGTACACTTGTGAAGGCAGTCCGAGCTGTTCTGGCCTTGGTCGTACGTATCTCCAAACACCACAGTCATATCATTAGAGACATTCTTTTTCAAATGTCTCTCGTGAAGTAGGTCCACATGTGCGTTAACAGTGCCACAGCAGGTCAGCCGCCTTCATAGCTGGAGTTAGTCACCACACTGCAGTATAGTGACCTGCAGACTACATCACACTGTACAACAAGATATCAGATGTGTCCACACGCATGAAGGCTCTATTCTCACTTTCTCTCTGGGAGTTAATCTGATTACTTTTGCAGGCGCTGGGACTATTCAACGTAAACTGCGAAAATTGGATTCCTCTCCGTGTTTGTTTTAAAGTGAGGGATCAGGCTGCAGAAGTTTCGGGTCCCCTGCAACGATTAGTGCGGGTATATTTTCAGTCCTGTTTTGGTTGAGATTTAAGTTAAATAGGACCACTTGAGTGTCAGAGTTGACTTATCTGAAGCTTTCTTGAAGATTTCTACAGCATACAAATCTTGACAAATTACTTTTTGTGTTGAGTTGAGTCTAAATTATTGATGGTATATTTCTGTTCTGCAGAAAAACTAACACTTGAAAGATTATGGCACTTTTTTTCTTTTCGTTTTGTCCTTATTTTGACACAGTTTCATGCCTGGTTGGTATTTTCAACTACTATTATGGGTTGGTCCTAGTCATCTAAACTACAATCTCATTCGCTTGTTCTTCTCTGTATTGATTTGGATGAGTAATGTTGACTTAAATTTGTTATTTTCACAAGAAACCTCCCAAAGTACTTTGAATACTGAGGTTTGGACAGGTTTGGTAGGGAAAAAAAATGTATCTACAAATATGACTCCTTTCAGATGCTTTTTGATCACCAGGTTTGATCAGGTCTGAGTGACGGCCAGGAGGACTAAAAAGTAAACTTTCTGAAGAATAATATCTTTAAGACCAGATAAAGTAGAATAAGTTTACATGAATGAGACTTTATCTAATCTTATCTTACGAGACTGCAGAAAAGTAAACGTTTTGTCTCTGGAAGTGAGACGTGACTAACATATCTCAATTTTCTTTATATCGTTGGGGCGATGGGCTTAACCTCCTTGACTTCTTCCTCTAATTAGCCGAGGGAGCGCGGCCCATGTGCTGCTGCGGTCAGAAGATAGAGCCAAGGAAACACTGACAATAACCCAATTAGCCAACTTTCCAAAACCGGCAGAAATGGGAGACTATCCGTCTCTAAGGGTATGGAAAATATCAACACATTATTAGAAATATGTATGCTTAAGAATGTGGCTTAAATCACACAGCTGCAGTGGTTAGTAGGAGTAGGCCTACATGTTGTGTTGAGCCACGCCATTAGAGCAGCATTTAAAGCACTTTAAATAAATAATGAGCTTTAGTTATATGTGGCTTATTCACTTGCACTTGTCAAAAGTATCACTTCACACTCATGGCTCACCTGGGGCTCTCACTAATCCACCCTGAGCCTGATTGAAAACAGGTAAAGGCTTAGGGCTTAGGGAGCATCTTCAGTATCAAAGCAAATCTTAAAAAGCTTAATTTCTGTGTTTTGCTCTCCATGATCTTAAAAGGTTTTAACTTAAATAAAACAGTCAAATTCCTTGTTTTTACAAGCATACCATAATTGCTTGTACATAATATCTTATTTTGTATCTATTCAGCGCAAAGCTGGAAGTCCTTTCCTCCACCTTGGCCAAAGTTGTTTAGCCACAAGACAAGTGTCAGATTCCTATTGATTGCTGAGCGTCTCCGCTCTTCACAATCACACTGTATAAGATTCCTTTAAGCGGTGAAAAAAGTGTGAAAGTCCCTTCACAGAATATCCAGCTTCCATCGTGTCAGTGTCAATGAGTTTACACAAAGTGTCCTCTCCTTTATGAGAGAAGAACTCTTCTGAAGCATGATCCTCTCAAACACAATGTCCGTGTCATTCACACAGCACAGTGACACCGTGGGGCAGGTGGGTGTGAACAGGAGGGGGCTGATCCTCGACAGGTCGCCGCTGCGGCGCACTGACCCGCAGTCACCTGGAGGCCTCGCATTGATAGATTTACCACACGCCCCGAGCAGAGGCACACAACACCTAAACTAGCATGCTGACAGACAGACAGACGCGAACAGACAACAGTGAAACAGATATTTGAACATAGAAAATGCTTTCCATTCTATATAGACCTTTCTATAGATAGATTTTCCATGCACTGTCACAAGTGAACAAATATATTTGTTAAAAAGTTAGATTTGTTTTGTTAAATGTGTTAACACTTTCCATACAGCAACCGTCTGACCTTTTCTTTGATTTATTTGTTACAATCTGCTACAATGCAATGCATTACACATAACGTATTCCGAAGCATAACTTGTTTTTTTAACCCTATCTGGGCTAACATGCAAGCTAGGTCCAGAGTTGTTCCATAAAAATAAGAATGTTTTATGTGTAAGCTAATTTGAAGCTCTGGTTTGTGGGAAAACTTCCCACTGTTAAGCTCTGGACAGATAATGTTATAATTAGGCCCTTGGAGTAGAGGGGGCTGTTGGCTCAGTGAGGATGATATAAAAACATGCAGCAAAACCGGTGCGTGGGGAAGAAAACTCATATTTTCAAAAGTTGATCTTTTTCTGTTTTGGTGATTGGAGAGACTTCAAATCAACCATAAACTGTCTTTGAGCGTAGGAGAATAATTTATGAGGGTCTCTGCTGGTGCTGCTGGTGGAGGCTGCAGGTCCTGATGAACTTGGGCGTGTGCCCCTGACTTTGCTCAACGCCATGAATAAACATCAGCCGCTAATTAAAATCAGCGCTGGAAACTGTATGTGCGAGTAAACACGCAGAGGTCTCACTCTGATGATTCACATGAGGAATACTTAATACAGAACAGCCACTCAGGAGAGCACAGGCAGAGTCAACAATAACATCATTTTACACTCAAATAATTCAACGTTTAGGAACTTCTTAAAAACATCATGTTTGGGATGAGTAAAGTACTTGCCTATAATTCTGGCATATCTGTTTTATAGATTTTCATGCTTTTAGTTGAGGAATACATATGTTTTAATGAGAATATTATTAACTGAAAAACAGGTAACAGGTGGCTGATTGCATAGCACTCTCGCTTCTCAGCAAGAAGGTCCTGGGTTCAAATCCCAGTAAGTCGGAACAGGGTCATTCTGAGTGGAGTTTGCATGTTCTCCCTGTGTCTACATCTGTTTCCTCCAGGTGTTTTGTTTTCTCCTACCAGAGCTGCCTACCTACAATAGGCAGCTCTGGTCCTGACAGAGGATGAAGGATGGACAAATTTCCCTATAAAGTATATCTGAGTATATAATGTCTCCTTAAAATCATAATAGGACTGCACTATTAATCACAATCAAAATGAAATAACAATTTGTGTGTTCCCAAACAGAAAATCACATAGATTGTAAGTTCTTCGCCAACACAGAATCATTTGAATTTGGAAAAAAATGTCACATAATATCCTTGAGTATATTTTAACATGTTTCAATGGAATAAACTTGACAACAGTGAAATACGTCTCATTGCAAGATTTTTGTTAGAAAATATCTAAACTACTTGATTCTATCCATGCCAGATGTGACATGTACATATCTCCTGTGTGAGATCAATAAAGTCTATCTTATCTTATCTTATCTTACGTAATTCAAGCGTTTATATATACAGTGCAGTATGTAAATTGTTGCAGTGAATCTTTTTTTTCTTCTCGAAATAAATTCCTAACCTTAACTCTATAAACATATTCTGAATTGTGTAGTCTACGCTTGATCAGATGGAACTCTGTTCAAGTCTTTTATGTTTAAGAGTAATCCCAAAAATCACATCACAATCACAATGTTGGTCAGAAATATTTTAATTAGATATGTTGCTAAAATCATAAAGCCCTAATCAGTCCTGTCTTGTCTTCCACAGCGTGTAACTGTAACCTCCACGCCCGGAGATGCCGCTTCAACATGGAGCTGTACAAACTGTCGGGAAGGAAGAGCGGAGGAGTCTGTCTGAACTGTCGCCACAACACGGCCGGCCGCCACTGTCACTACTGCAAAGAAGGATACTACCGAGACCTGTCGAAGCCCATCTCACACAGGAAGGCATGCAAAGGTACAATACAACAACAATACATCATGCTTTAGGATTGTGTTCACTACAGAAGGATCTGCAACCAGGAACGTAGGAAAATAATGAAAAACATATTGTGAATCAGCCAATATCTGCGTAGTGATAGACAAGGCTGTAGTAGTGAGAGAAGAAGGTGCCCTCTCCCAATCTAATACATACATTCAAAAAAAAAAAAAAAAAATATATATATATATATATATATATATATATATTATATATATTATATATATTATAATCGCATAAATAAGAGCAACATTTGAGCAGTTTTTGAACTAGTATAAACCTTGTGGTACCATTACAACCTAAATGCATTGTTATTTATTTAATTTTTAACAATATAAAATAATCATTCAATTGAAAAACTTTAAGCAATGTATTGTTTAAAGTTATTTTTATCAAAAATCCCTGTGGTTTTGAAATGGGTATCTGTTAGTTTAGTTTAGTCTTTCTTAGAATGGGAATTGTTTTTGTCATTTAAACATCATGACAACACTCCACAAGGCCATGACTTGTCCAAAATCTAAGGTTAAAACACTATCAAATTTATGATTATTTATGATTACTAATAAGAGTAAAAGTATGTTTTCTCCTCATCCCCATCAGTCATTAGAATCATTTGCTACTTGCGTAAATCTCATAATCACAATCACATTTTTTGGCTTGAGAGGTCACTCCCAAGCTGTACGTAGTTAAATTGACAAGTTTGAAACGAGAACACTTAAACCAGTGGTCTCAGTGTTTTTAATGCATTAAAACAATTGAAATCATCGCCACCTGCTGGCTGTTTTTAGGCCTACACCAAATGAACAGCAATATGAGACATTTTCCACTGTTTGACTTCTCAAAATCAACAAATATGGTACAGATATTTCAAAGCTTTGGTTGTGTATATTTTATGTGTCTTTGAAGGTTTCTGGAAACAAATATTACTCTCTCATATGTGAGTTTTAGATGCGGATTTTAGAGCCCACAGAGCATTATGGTATTGCACTAGTAGCAAATGGGGGTCGCATAGTGGAATGATGTGGGTGTGGTTCCAGAGGCAGGGGTGGGTCCTCTCTGACAGTGAACAATGTGACAAAGGCCAATGCTGAACTGAAGGATGACAAAAATAAACACGAGGAAGGTGTGAAGTGATCCCCAGGCGCAGGTTCGAGAGGAAAAGCAGGAGCTGCGCACACGCCCTCACGCAGGTGCTGGATCCAGCCTTAAGCACGGTCAGGAGGAGGAAGCGCCTGGGGAGGGGGGGAATGCAAAGAGCGGATACGTTTATCGCCTTTTCTATAGCTGCAGGGAGCGAGAACAGAAGCTGGAGCCAAGTGCAAACAAGTCCACTTCTCGTCACTGACACGGATCTCCAGGCGTCAAAAGGCCAGCGCTTCAAAAACAGGGAGAAATCCGGCCAGTGTGATAGGTCAGAAGTAAATAAACACAATAATGGTGGGGTGCGTTTGTGTTTGTCTTTGAGATGAACAGATGAATTTGTAACTTTTATCAATTCTGTGCTCACAAAAATTTGCAAAACTTAAATCGTACCTGACTCTTTTTGTTTCATAAAAAATACATGTTGTTAACCCCATAGAAAGGGTTAGGGTTAGGATTAGGGTTAGGGTTAACAAAAGTAAACCCTAACCCCCTTGCAAGAGTAAAATGTAGTGAACAAATCAGACCACAGCGTATGGGGTAAGGTTACTGTCAATAAAGACGTGCATGTCTAAAAAAAATGCGTGCATATTTATTGGCATTTGTGCATGAAAATATGTTATTAATTCATGATTAAAATAATACAAACTAAAAAGACATAGAATTTTGTAATTAAGAATAAAAAATATAATATTTGTATGATAATTATAATAATTCATATTTCTTGCACATTTATTTACGACCAACATGATCAGATATAGTTATATACCTGATTTTGAGCCACATTGTTAATGTTGTTGCCCTCTGCCACGATCAACTCTGCGCAGGCTCGATTGTTAATGTCTGTGAGCAGTGACGTATTATTGACAGTTTGCTCACTGCTGAAATTCGTATTCTCAAAGAAGAAAATGCAAGCACACAAAAAGATCGTATTCACAAGTACAAAATCACACATACAGTTTTATATTTTTTTATTCTTAATTACAAAATTCCATGTATTTTTAGTTTGTATTATCTTGAATTAATAACATATTTTTATGCACAAATACCAATAAATATGTACGTATTTTTTTTTAGACATGCACGTCTTTATTGACAGTAACCTTACCCCATAACAGTGCCTCATCTCTGTGGTCTGATTTGTTTGATTGTTAGAAAACATGTGATCTACTGCAAGAAACAGCCCTGTGAGTCACTATTTAACACTTTGGGTTGAGATCTGAAAAAGCGGATATAAATATGTGACAGGAGTACATATAGTGACAGGATAGAAACTGGTTCTAATTTGTGTGGTCGGAAGGTTGGGCACCCCACCTTTAAGTTATTTATATATAGAAGTAGTTCGTAGTTTCAATACACTATCTTAGGGGCTGGTGCTCTGTGTACTGGGTACAGCTCTGACTGCCACCCTCCCAAGAAATGGATTAAGGGGAAGAAAATGGCTGGATGGATGGATCTATAGTTACTTTCAACTTGAATAATTACAGGTGACACTCGGAAAATTGGAATATTGTTCAAATGTCCACCTACTTCTGTAATTCAACTTACAATGTGAAACTAATACATAATAGAATATATAATAATTGGCTCACAGCTTGTAAAAAAACCAAATATTACAAATCAGAAAGTGTGTATATTTTGACTGTAAGCCATAATTATTTAAAATATAACAAATAAATGCTTGACAAATGACTCTTTACATGTAATGACTTTATATCATATTTGTTTCACATTGTAAGTTGAATTACAGAACTAAAAGAACAATATTCTTTTTTGCTGAGTTTCATCTGTGTGGCATTTCCTGTTTGATATGAATCTGCACGCTATAAGTCAGACATAACATGTATTTATTTCGTTTGCAAAGCGGAGCAAACACCTTCCGTGGTTTAGGCCCATTCTGGTGTCAGGCAGGAATGCAAACACACATTCATCACACCGGGACATTGTGTATCATTAACCCCTATCTGCTGCTGGGACGTCCTGTTGTGCAGCTTAACCTCCTCCATGTTGATTCTACATCCCATCTCATGTGTCCAACACTTCATTCCATCAACATCTCGTGGCTCACTTTGTTTCCAATTCATCTATCAAATATTAAAATAACATTAGGGTTAGATGACCATAGCATTGTCCTCAATCCATTAGGAATAGGTACGTTTATACAATTTGTTTGAGAGTAGACGTATATGTATACACTTTAAACCATTTACATTTCTAAGGTTGTAGACATTTTTGTACAAGCTTTAGTTAGTAAAGCCCTGTGACCATGGTTTGTGAAATGTGTTGCATAAATAAAGATGACTTACTTACTTGCTGGTAAAAGTTTTTCCTGGCATAAGAAGTCACATAACTTAAAGCTGGGGTACCTTACTTTCAAAACACAAAACTATAAAATAAAATCCATAACTTGTTCCTTGCTTGTTTGGTTGTATCACTAGTTTGGTCTCCGTTTTTTTCCGACAGAAATAAAGAGGACCACTCTCATTCAGCTAATCAACTTTCTGTGCCCTAAGTAATAATAATAATACTACATTATATCTATATTGCACCTTACATTTCCAGGAAACCTCAAAGTGCTACAGATTAGAATACAAATCCACGAACATCAAAACAAAGCAAAAGAAGCTTGAGTGTCTAATTGTGACTCACAGGGCTCTGATTTGGACATTTGGTGGTTTGATTTGTTCACACATATTTTACTGTTACATGACTCTTTATGTTATGATAGATAGATAGATACTTTATTGATCCCTGTAGGAGAAATTCGGTTGTCCAGTAGCAGCAAAAATAAAATGGATCATTCTAAAAAGCTAAAAATAGTATTAATCAGCCACAAGCCTTCAGGTTACAGCAGCACAGATGGAGTAGCCTCTGGGTGGAGCAGGACAGGTCACATCAGCACAGATGGTGTAGCCTCTGGGTGGAGCAGGACGGGTCACATCAGCACAGATGGAGTAGCCTCTGGGTGGAGCAGGACGGGTCACATCAGCACAGATGGAGTAGCCTCTGGGTGGAGCAGGACAGGTCACAAGGTGGAGTAGCCGCTTGGTTCGGACCATTTTCTCTGCTCTAGTCCAAAGTAAAATGCTAAATGCTCCATAAGCATTTTTCAAAAAGTTAGCATTCCTCCAGTGGATTTTCACCTGATCCACTTGGTTCGGACCATGAATCCTCTCTGCTCTGGTCTGGACCAGTGTAAAACCATGAACACTGTAGTGCAGCAACATCTCAGGCAGAAAAAATCAAGAAAAAAATTATAAATTATAAAGCACAAAACAATAACTGTTTCAGAGCTACTTGGGACTTTCAGCTGTTTTCCAGCACATTCAAATGTAAACAAGACAAACCACAATAAATATTTATGAAACAAAAAAGTCAGGTACCCCAGCTTTAACACTGTTTGACCTGTCTCTAACCCGTCTCTCTGTTTGGCTTAAAACATAAAGAGCCAACATAAGTTTACTTTCAATGTCGTTATGTCCTTCTTCTCACCTCGCTGTACAGTAAATTAAATCATTTCATTTATTTTCATTCACGATTCCGTTGCCTTTCTGGCCACAGCCTTATAAACATATTTCATCAACATTGCCAACATATTCTTACACTAAATGAAAAGATGAGATTGGCCAGACATGTTGGCTGTCTGCTCTCTTTTCCTGTGCTATTCCTTTACATCAAACCCGCTCACAATAAAGGATCTGTGCTAATTAGCCCAGGCTGACAGATGATACGAAGCATGACCTCCTCCTGCTGCCAGTTTCAACATTTGCACACACTATATTTGGAAAGTTACCGATGACGACCTCTAAGATGTGTGTCATTGTATTACATGCTCACTT